TTCGTCGACCACCCTGTGTGCCCCCCCAATTTGTTTTTATTGGGGTTGCCTCGGGTCTCCTTCGTCGTTTCGCATTTTGGAGTCGCCGTCTTTTCTCCCTTGCTGCCTCTGTTTGCTCCAAAGGAAGGCGATCCATACCATCCTGGATCTCTTCCCACGTCCATGATCCTTTTCCTTCCAGTATCTCCTCCCATGTCCAGGCTTTTTGCTTTTCCTGGGCACGCTGCTTGGTCTGTTGGTGGTGGGATCTTCTGTCACGTTCGTTGAGTACAGGATTGGACCAAGGTGCAGCGTGGAATGCATACATGTTTATTCACTAAGTTAACACACGACAAAACAACAAAACAACAAAAGCAACGTAACATGAAGCTCACAATGGCTACACACAAACAAGCCAAACAAGAGTCAAGATCCCACAACATAGGTAGGCAAAATGGCTACCTAAGTATGATCCCCAATCAGAGACAACGATCGACAGCTGCCTCTGATTGGGAACCACAGCCGGCCAACATAGAAATAGAACAACATAGATATTCACAATACATAGATATTCACACCCTGACCAAACCAACTAGCGAACTCTATGTCAGGGCGTGACACTCCCTCTCTCACACACCAAGCCCCACCCTGCCCCCTGTGACTCGAGGAGCGCAGTTGTTGTTGCTCGACTATGAGACCACTTGCCGTTCACTCTTCAGTCTGCATGGTCAAGACTGACAACATTGCTGCTTTCCACTTTGCTTCCTAATATAAATCCACAAGCGTTCTATAATTACACTTAGTTTGTGTATCTTACTGTCTGCAAACAGCTAGTTTGTCTTTTCTTAGCAAGTTGTGGCTACAATAAATAATGTTAGCTCCTAATGCTTATCGCTAGTTAGCTAATCAATGTACTGAGTCAGAGCAAATGTAGCTAACTTAAACAGCCTGATACCAGTACTGGTGTAGGCCTAGATTAGCATGTTGTTTGCACAACGGTATCTTCTAAATCAGAGAGAAATAGGCAAAGGATGAATATGTTAGCTATATTACATTTAATGTAGACAAAGATTATAGGGTCCCCTGGGAAACACTGACCAACACTTTGGTTCCCACCCTGTCACAATAACTTCTCCCTGGCTTTTTCATTCGTTGTCATGTCAAACAACACTGTATTCAAAGTGCCCATTATTATAGTCTAACTATAGAATTATAATAATCCTTGTATTTCTCTTATTCCAACAGTTCACCCAAGTGTTTTGATCTAAATCGCAAGTCAAATCGCAATTGCAATAGTTGGTTAAAAACAACCCCTCTATGTTTTGCCCATATTGTGCAGCCCTACATGGCAGTGTGGAAATGATCTCAAACGAGTGCAGGAAATGCAGAAATTGATGAAAATGCAGAAAATAAGTTTTGTTTGAAATTGAATTGAACAGTATAAAACCATCAGAATGGAGAATGACCCATTGAAATCACTTAGAATGTATGTGTTGCCACCCTAGGGTCACGCACTACTCATAAAGCAAATTAAAAAACATAAAATACAGTAAAATGCTGTCAAAAATTTGAAAAATATTGTGGCCATATCGTGTGTGTCTCTGTTCTCTGAGCAGCATGGAAGATGCAGAGCGGGATGCAGTGAGTAAGCAGGCAGCCACTCGAAGTGAACAAGTCTCGAGTGGCAGGGAGATGGATCATTTAACGCTGTGTCTCTCATTTGAAGCCATCCGCCTCTAGAGAGATACTGACCTTGATTGCTGGGAGATGCCAGCCTGTGCCCGATCGCCCAGGACGACTGTTCTCAGGGAAATTGGCACGGAGTACACAGCGTAGGGGCCCAACTCAGAGGAACGGAACATCAACAGGACCGAGAGGCATGGGTTCGTGTGTCTGTGTGTGTGTATGTTTGTGCACGTGGTATCCGCTCACTGTGTGTCAGAGTGTGTGTGTGTGTGTGTGTGTGTGTGTGCGTGCATACCTGCGTGTGTGTGGCATACACACGGCACTGCGCCCTAGCTACCATCATGTCAAAACAAGGAGGGAGGGGAGGGGGCCAAACACAATTACTGCACAGTAAGAGACACTGAGTCAACGTCTGCGCTAGTCATAATGTATCCTGGGCCTGGTTCAGGGACAGTGATGTAGAGCTGGCACGTAGTAGTGGAGCAGTCTACCCAGGCAGGCACAGTCCACCCAGGCCCTGGCCAGTCTGAGGAGAGACGTGGGAGAGATAGAGCCACCCTCCACCATCTCACTGCTCTCTACTGTGGGGTAATGGTGGCGATCTGGTCCTAGAGACCTGGGACACACAGCTCTTTAAGTTCAAATCAAATCAAAGTTTATTGGTAACGTACACATATTTACAGGTGTTACCGCAGGTGCAGCGAAATGCTTCTGTTTCTAGCTTCAACAGTGTAGTAATACCTAACAATAAAAAAAACTATACACACATAATCCATAAAAAATAAGTTATATAGGATGAGCCATGACTAGAATACAGTATATACATATAAAGTGTGTGAAACAGTATGTAAACATGAATAAAGTGACCAAGGACTATGTACATAGGGCAGCAGTCTCTAAGGTGCAGGGTAGAGTACCGGGTGGTAGCCGATTAGAACAGTGACTAAGGTTCAGGACAGGGTACTGGGTGGAGGCCAGCTAGTGGTGACTGTTTAACAGTTTGATTGCCTGGAGCTGTTTTTCAGTGTCTCGGTCCCAGCTTTGATGCACCCGTCTCCACCTTCTAGATGGTAGCTGGATGAACAGGCCGTGGCTCAGGTGGCTGAGGTCCTTGATGATCTTCTTGGCCTTCCTTTGATACCAGTTACTGTAGATGTCCTGGAGGGCAGATAGTGTGATGCATTGGGTTGACCGCACCACCCTCTGGAGAGCCCTGCGGTTGTGGATGGTGCAATTGCCGTACCAGGCAGTGATACAGCCCAACAGGATGCTCTCAATGGTGGATCTGTAGAAGTTCGTGAGTCTTTCTGGGGTCATGCCTGTGTATGGGTGAGCCCCCTGCCTCTCCTGTGCCCTCCTCTGGGGTTGAGGAATAGAGTTCACCTGGAACGGAGGAGCTTTAGCAGACAGGTGGTGTGACTGACTGGGGCTCCTATTCATCTGAGAGAGTAGCAGGCAGCCCCAGAGACACCCCCCAGGTCTTCAGGACCTTTACTACCATGCCATTACCACTAACAGCAATGCCATTAGCACTGTCATGCCATTAGCACTGTCTAACAGCACAGGAGACACATTGATGTTCTACAAGCATAGAGCAACCTGCAACCTGTTGAGTTATTGATATTGCTGTAACACCAAACTGCAATGGATAAAAACACAAATGCTTCTGCACATGCTAATTCCAAGTCCAAGTAAGAAAGTAGAGACATGTCCATGTGAAAACAAATAGTTCAGGCAAGAACTAAAAGAACCAAGCAATGTGTTGAATCCCTGAGTCAGGTGCATCTATGTTGATCCTCAGTCATGCTAGGCCTCAGCCTGTTCAAAACACATTTGTCTGTGAGCGCTCAGCCAGAGAGTCATGGCTTGTGAGGGCTGATGGATTGCTAGCACTATGATATCTGGAGAAAGAGAGAAGGAGAAATTTTAGAAGGAGAAAGAGAGAAAGAGAGACGGGGGTAAAGACATAAAGACAGGTGTGCTGCTGCAATGTGTCCCCTGCCTGTTCACGTCTTGTGTCTTTATTCTCTCTGTACTGTCATCAGCCTCCTCTCTCCGCAGGTGGACACAAGCAATGAATCATCTGTGAGTCCACAGACATCAGAGCAAAGAAAAGGAACGGAGCGCCCGAGAGAATGGCAGGCAGAGGGCCTTTTTATCTTCCTTCCTGACAGCGATAGAGAGAGACGTGCTGAATGAATGGGGCCCGGGCCTGGAACTAGAGAGAGCATGTCGTGACATGTGACAACAAGCCTCCAACAAGCCTCTTGAGTACTACTATAGATGCTTGTTTACAGCAAGTCTGGGTGAGTGTGTCGTTCTTAGCAGGAGCTGGTTAGGAAACACCTATTTGTCCTTGAATGTTTTTGTCTCAGTGAAGACAATAAATTCATTCTAATACTGTCTGTGCCTCGGGATTCTTGCTTTTCCCAGCACTGGTATTTTGGATGAGCATCTACTTCAGACCTCTTTTGAGGTAGGAAATACTCCTTCACGGCAGCACTTCAATGGTTGATTTTCCGGACCTAGATTACGCCTACTGGACTATGAAGCATGCTCCGTGGAGAATCGCCACTGAAAGTGTTTTTAGTCCAGGAATAGGCTTAATCTGTGTCCGCAACATAGCCTCAGGGCAATTCGTAAGATTTGGTATGTGAATTTGTTCCCCTCCATTTAGTACGACACATTACGTTACGTTAGGTTACATTGTGAATGGAATAGCGGTCGTACAATATCATACGAATTAAAGGACAAATAGTATTATACGTGTTACCTGGTTGTACAAAAGCATACGAATTGGATGAGGTAGGTTATCATACATCTTGAGGGATGTATAGTATTATACATCCTTCTCTGAGACCAAGTTGCTTGTTGCATGGTAACAACAAAGAAGAATTACGGTGAGAATTTACATTAGTGGATAACTAACAACAAAGGTCCGGATAATTTATGTAAAAGGTTAGGGGAACTAAAACGACAAAGGTTAGGAAAATGTACATAAAAAAAGGTTGGTGAATTGGGTTAAGGTTAGAATATGGATTAGGGGAAGGGTTAGCTAAAATGCAACAGTTGTCCCTGACGCCTCTCGAACACGCAACTTTTGGATTGCTAGACGGTCACGGTATACGCCCACCCATCCTCACCGACCAACTTCCCTCCTATCGTTTCTGTCTTAAGTAACCATACCAAACGTAACATATCAGACTTATTGGAGGTGCAAATATTTATGTAAAATACCAAACGTCTGTCCAGTGAGTCCAGTCTGGTGTCCAGGAATTGGCCCCTAGAGTACCAAATGGATCTAGACTCTAGAGTGTGTATTAAGCAGCACTTACCACCATCTTGTTGAGGGAGACCCAGCAGTCCTGGGGGAAGTCCTGCAGCATTGGAACCAGGAACTGCAAACAGCCATCCCAGTGACACAGCAGCAGCATCATACCAATCAGGTTGAAGATACGCATCACTGCACTAGCCAGGTCATAGGTCATATGGAAGATCTGTCACGAGAGGGTCAGAGAGAGAGGACAGTCAGTGGTGTGTTACACACCTCATTCATTCACCATTTCACATGGATTAAGCCTATGTTAACATAGCCAATGAACACATGATAAAAAAAAAAGATAGAAACAGACTCCATTATTTGCATTATCTGGTTACAACAGGATTTAGACAGGATTTGGATTCATGATTGGATTAGTTATTGTAATTCAGTAAGTAAGTTTACCGGTACCAATGATGCACAGTTGCTTTTCTGTACACACAGCAGTTACACTTTCATTAGTTTGCCTTGAGAAATGAAGCACATCAAATGACTTCAGTGATGACGGCACTAATTTCCTGCACTCATCAGGCACTAGTACTTTGATGAGATGAACATGATCAAGAGAGATAAGCGTGGAATGTAAAGATTAGAGCTCCATCGGAGTGTGAGCCAGGTGATTCAGGCACCTCACAAGACCTCACACAAGCCCATGGGGTTTAAAGCTTAACCGAATGCAAAATGAAAAGCAGCTCTGAAAGACAACACAAGGTCGGAGTGCCTCCTTTCGTTGTTTGTAAAAGTGACTGTATTGGAATATCTGTGGTGAAAAAGGCCAAACAAGCATCCTTCTGCATGACCTCTTTCTAGCTTTGTCTCAAAAGCCCTACAATTAAAAACAAAATCCCTGTATTACTGAGTTTGGGTGCTATGTGGGTTCTTTTCACGGGGCTTGCACAGCTGTTTCTGAATCAATTTACCTGCAGCCCACACACACACCTAAATAAATGAGGTGGCTTGTCGTACACCATTAAGGTCAGAGGGCTCAGATTGGTGCGTTTAGCGTATTGCTTTGCCCTCGCAGGCAGTCGCTCGCCATCTCCCAACTCCCCCTCCATGCTTCTGCTATCAGACTCACTGCCCGCAAGCAACAGGAGGAGGAGGAGGAGGAGGAGGGGAAAACACTTGGAGGCCTTGCATTTTGATTAGGATCCAATCGTGGGCTAAAACGAAGTCTTCAGCTAAATAGCAGAACTATGACATGTAACATGTGGCACTGTCAGTTGGCTGGATGGGCCAAGGCACATACAGTGAGGGAAAAAAAGTATTTGATCCCCTGCTGATTTTGTACGTTTGCCCACTGACAAAGAAATTATCAGTCTATAATTTTAATAGTAGGTTTATTTGAACAGTGAGAGACAGAATAACAACAAAAAAATCCAGAAAAATGCATGTCAAAAATGTTATCAATTGATTTGCATTTTAATGAGGGAAATAAGTATTTGACCCCTCTGCAAAACATGATTTAGTACTTGGTGGCAAAACCCTTGTTGGGTCAGACGTTTCTTGTAGTTGGCCACCAGGTTTGCACACATCTCAGGAGGGATTTTGTCCCACTCCTCTTTGCAGATCTTCTCCAAGTCATTAAGGTTTCGAGGCTGACGTTTGGCAACTCGAACCTTCAGCTCCCTCCACAGATGTTCTATGGGATTAAGGTCTGGAGACTGGCTAGGCCACTCCAGGACCTTAATGTGCTTCTTCTAGAGCCACTCCTTTGTTGGTCCATTTTGATCTCATCTGACAACAACACTTTCACCCAGTTCTCCTCTGAATCATTCAGATGTTGATTGGCAAACTTCAGATGGGCATGTATATGTGCTTTCTTGAGCAGGGGGACCTTGCGGGTGCTGCAGGATTTCAGTACTTCACGGCGTAATGTGTTACCAATTGTTTTCTTGGTGACTATGGTCCCAGCTGCCTTGAGATCATTGACAAGATCCTCCCGTGTAGTTCTGGGCTGATTCCTCACCGTTCTCATGATCATTGCAACTCCACGAGGTGAGATCTTGCATGGAGCCCCAAGCTGAGGGAGATTGACAGTTATTTTGTGTTTCTTCCATTTGCGAATAATCGCGCCAACTGTTGTCACCTTCTCACCAAGCTGATTGGTGATGGTCTTGTAGCCCATTCCAGCCTTGTGTAGGTCTACAATCTTGTCCCTGACATCCTTGGAGAGCTCTTTGGTCTTGGCCATGGTGGAGAGTTTGGAATCTGATTGATTGATTGCTTCTGTGGACAGGTGTCTTTTATACAGGTAACAAGCTGAGATTAGGAGCACTCCCTTTAAGAGTGTGCTCCTAATCTCAGCTCGTTACCTGTATAAAAGACACCTGGGAGCCAGAAATCTTTCTGATTGAGAGGGGGTCAAATACTTATTTCCCTCATTAAAATGCAAATCAATTTATAAAATTTTTGACATGCATTTTTCTGGATTTTTGTTGTTGTTATTCTGTCTCTCACTGTTCAAATAAACCTACCATTAAAATTATAGACTGATCATTTCTTTGTCAGTGGGCAAACGTACAAAATCAGCAGGGGATCAAATACTTTTTTCCCTCACTGTAGCTTAGACGTGACAAGAACCTTATGGCCTGTAGCCCATTACCCAAATAAAAAAACACAGGAGAAAGCATTACCCAATCCACTAACACATTACACAACAGTTCTGCAGCCATTAATATGGAAATATTGTATAAATGAAATTTTAAAAATGTAACGCTAATTCATTTCCAATTAAATCAATGTAATAGTTTAAGGATTCTGATGAAATCATAATGCTCTAGATGGGAATCCGAAATGACAGCATGCTAAGTGAAAGTCCTCCTGAACCCACAACACAATCCTAAAGTACCTAATGTACTGTTGCCTGTCTGCCTAGCCAGCCCAGCTCATGAAAAAGGTGAGGTGAGCATCTGCCCTGTGCAGAGCAGAGCTGAGCAGTGGGTGAGAGGCACTCGGTTAAGTAAGGGGTTGATTCAATAATTAGGGGTTGTGTCTGGCTGAAATTACCACTCTGTAATCAAGAAAATAATTGTCCCATTAACTAGAGTACAGAACACATACAACTGAGTCATCAGACTTGGGTCAGCTCAGGGCCTCTTCTGGAATATCTTAGCGGGCACAGAAGGGGCATATATGTATGTATAGCCAGCACAGCTTTACACATCCAGTCACATCAGGGTAAAACGGACCACTGTGACTGGCTGCACTCCACAGCCAAATGCTGCGATGATGAGGCCAACACAGTCACTGAGAAAGCAAAGCTGTGAATCTCAGCATCCTGCTGATGTATATCAGTACAGATACAGAGAGGCAACAGTGTTGAAGGCCTGTGATAGTGTGAGACTAGCCTATTATTGGAAGAACACTACCCTGAAATAGGTTGGGCTGATGATGTTCAAATCTGACTCCCTTCTGTACTTGTCCTGATTTTACAAACTAAAAGAGCTTAGTCTTTCTACTCCTGCCTTAACATTGTATTATAGGGGGATTGCGGCCTATGCCTTGTCCATCCTACCCCCTCTTTCCATTGGTCGATGCAAGTACTTCACCCATAGTGTGCAGCCTCTCATTGTAAATTCTAGAAACACATTGCCAATCCCATCTCCTCCTGCCATTGGTCAAAGTTAGACTCTGCCGAGTCCTCAACAACCGGATACTCCGGTTTTAAGGGGAAATGGAAAGAGAGCCTGTGACACGACATCCGCTTTTGGACGTTAACAAAGCGACACTCCATCTTAACTCCTCCTCCACATTTACTGGATTAGTTGAACAGTGCAGAAGAGAACCTCCCCAGACAGTTTTTTTTTCTTCTTCTCCTCAAGACCAGTATGTAGGAGATCTAGTTTCAGGCGTTTATTTTACGCCTGCTATGTTAGGTTAGGTCAAAGTAAGTTCTAGAGCCCAGCTTACCTCTTCCCATTGGTGGATGTAACGGATGAGCCTGGACAGCCTGAGCAGCCTCAGCAGACTGAGGATCTTGGTAAAGCGTAGGATCCTCAGGGCTCTGGCCGTCTTATACAACTCGGAGTCGATCCCCTTCTCAACGATCAAGAAGATATAATCCACAGGGATGGAGGAGACAAAGTCCACCATGAACCAGGTCTTTAGGTACGTCCTCTTGATCTTCTTGGGGTCCAGGATGATCTCGGTGTTGTCCTCAAACACGATGCCTGTGCGGAAGTTGAGGACCAGGTCCATGAGGAAGAAGGTGTCAGAGACCACGTTGAAGATGATCCAGGGCGCGGTGGTCTCGTCCTTGAAGAAGGTGATCCCCACGGGGATGATGATGAGGTTGCCCACCATGAACATCAGCATGGTGAAGTCCCAGTAGAACCTAGAGGGCAGGAGAAGGTGGTTAGGGGACTGAGAGACAGTTAGAGTGGAAGAACTCAGGACACCTGAACTTCAACTGCTGTTCAATCGAGTAGAGGCTTAACTAAATTAGCAACAAAGATGGAATGCATTATGACATTTTATTAAATCGTTTGGGGAATGGCCTTGACTCCGAGGGAAAATCCTTGGAGCCAGATGATGTGATGACAGGTAGCCCCTATGCGGGACCACCCCCAAGGAGTTCCAATGACGGGCCTTAAGGTTATTATAGCTGGTGGTAGTGGGGAGGTGGATGGTTGTCGAAAACGGTTGCTCAAAAACAGCAAGTGAGAGAACGAGGGTAAATTGACATATAAACAGATCCCAAGATTTACGCCTATTGGTTGAGAGTGAGGATGGTGATAATTGCCAGAGTGAGCCCATAGGTTAAACAGCCAGCGTGAGGAAGGAGCATTATTGTGCCGTGCTTATAGGCTATAAGGTAAAAAGGTGACATTCCACACATAGCTAACAGGAAAGAAGAGAAGAAACAAGATGCTATGCTGATGATACGTTTGTATTCATTCCCACTGTGCCCGTAGAATAGGAAACAAAGTGAATTATGATATGCTTACTGGATGAAGTTAAGCGAGCATTCAGACCAGCCTTCCTGATTGAACTTTCCTAAACTACATGTGTGGTTCAGGTATAAACAGTTGATGAGGTGCTTTGGACAATGCCATTGACTTCCACAATGGCATTCTTCATTAACTGTTAAATAATGTTTAAAACAATCAGGGAAACGTAAGATTATACCGAATATCCACCTTCCCACTCTAAACTGGTTATCACAAATCATACAAATATATTTACATTTTAGTCATTTCGCAGACGCTCTTATCCAGAGCGACTTACAGTTAGCGAGTGGATACATTTTTCATACTGGTCCCCCGTGGGAATCGAACCCACAACCCTGGCGTTGCAAGCGCCATGCTCTACCAACTGAGCTACACGGGACTATTTAATTCATATATCAGAATCATCTGTTGGCTTCTATTGTAGGAGTGATGATGTGGAATGAATTGGCAAGACAATCATGCATTCAAAAAGTTGACCAATTGACAGGGGCTATTACTTATTGTAACTAGGGTATATCATGATGAGTACTAGTTCAAGTAGAAACTGTAGTATCACTGTTTTCATTATGAGCAAATGTTCTCCCTTGCTATTTGCTGTGCATATCACATGCAAGTAGTTTGGAATGGCCAGGAAAGTTGCAATTCATTATCACTATACTTACGAGACGATAAGATACTGTATGTATTGCAATTCTCACGATTCCCACCATTCTCACTAATCACGATTCTATATGTAATGCGATTCGATACTGCAATTTGATGTTCCAAACAAATTCTCACTATATGTCTGCTGCACAGAGACAAGAGAGAGCATGAGAAAATGAGTTTTGATCAGTCAGGGAAATAAAAGTGCTGAAAATGAATTGGCTCCCTATTTAAAAAGATGGAGAATAAGCTATGAAGGGAAAATACTGGTGTGTGGGTGCAGGTACCGCCAACTAGCGCTAGCTGACGCTACCTACAGTAGCAAAAAAAAAAAACTTGGAGACAAATATCAATATAGAATCATCCAACAATAATATCACGATATGTAACTTTATGGATTTTTCCCCTTATCACTAAAAGTCACTAATGTTGCTTTATCCATCTGACAAGTACCCTCTCTACTTACTGTAGCCTGCTCTCTACTGTCCACATCTTACAACACCCTCTGTCAGACAGTGGCACACTGACAATAACACACACGCGCACACGCGCACACACACACACACACACACACACACACACACACACACACACACACACACACGGCTGGTGGCATGGCCTACCGTGAAACAGTTAATAATCAATAGTCATATCACCGCATCTTGTCAAAAATCAAGTCCATCCTCCTGCTCATGCATGACAAGGTCATGTCAAGGACAGGAGGGGAGGCGATATGGAGGAGGGGGTAATATGAGGGTATAGCTGGATGGTGAATTGATTCTATATCCTTGCTACAAGGACAACGGGTGGCAGAAGTGAAACCTGAATAGTAGGCCTATCAGTATATTTGAATTATTGTGACAGCTAGGTTATGCAAGATAGTCACAATTTTGCATATGGAATATTACATTTGACAATAACGTGTGATGTAAGAGATGGATTAATATTGAAGAGCTCATCTGAAAATACATATTGAATGTTGCACCTAGTGTAATATCAGTGGCTATCAATACTGCTGTCTAATCAACCCAAGGTAAAGGGATTCAATGCTTGGGAAGAGAGTAACTGATAGGCGTGACGCTGAGTCATGACTTGACTGACTGATCCTGCCCGATCGGAAACGAACATCGATGACTCGACTGTGTGAGCGATGAGATCATCCTTCTAAGGAGAAGTTGCTACAGTAGGCTACATAACAAAAATGCACTAAATGTTGCCCGTGAAGTTTGCAAATTGCTCAAACATACTGTATCAGAGAAGTTATCGGTTATGAAGTCGGCCTACTTTACAAAATCGCTCTCGGTCTAAACGCACATTATGTGACAGTATGCTGTCATGTTGACAGTTTTAACTGTCAATGGCAAATGAATAACGTCATAAACAGGCCACAATCAAACTCAAACATATGGCTATAGACTACTGTCAAATGTGTGTAGCCTACCGTATAAAAGCACAACTATCAAATTTGCAATAAAGACTTTCTGAAGGTCATGACATGGGAGCTGTCCATTGTGCTGAACCCGATATTCGCAGTCGCAATTACAGTTCTGCGAAAGCACCTTTGGCTATAAAGTTGTGCCCTATTAGGAAAGTGTCTCAGCTTAAGTCAAGCTTACAAAAAAAGGCAAACTCACCCCAGATCTGTCAGTTTCATAGCAGTTTAATCAATGCTGCCTGCAATATTAGAGTAAAACCCTTTTTTCTCCACATTTTCTCACCAATGACCTCATCAGAATGCATCCTAAATAAACTATATGGACACCTCTTCAAATTAGTGGATTCTGCTATTTCAGCCACACCCGTTGATGACAGGTGTATAAAATCAAACACAAAACCATGCAATCTCCATAGACATACATTGGCAGTAGAATGGCCTTACTGAAGAGCTCAGTGACTTTCAATTACATTTTAGTCATTTAGCAGACGCTCTTATCCAGAGCGACTTACAGTTAGTGAGTGCATACATTATTTTTTATTTATTTTCATACTGGCCCCCCGTGGGAATCAAACCCACAACCCTGGCATTGCAAACACCATGCTCTACTAGCTGAGCTACATCCCTGCCAGCCATTCCCTCCCCTACCCTGGACGACGCTGGGCCAATGGTGCGCCGCCCCATGGCAATGTGGCACCGTCATAGGATGCCACCTTTCCAACAAGTCAGTTAAGTTTCTGCCCTGCTAGAGCTGCCCCGGTCAACTGTATGTGCTGTTATTGTGAAGTGGAAACGTCTAGGAGCAACAACGGCTCAGCCGCAAAGTGGTAGGCCACACAAGCTCACAGAACGGGACTGCCGAGTGTTGAAGAACGTAGCGCGTAAAAAACGTCTGTCCTCGGTTGCAACGCTCACTACCGAGTTCCAAACTGCCTCTGTTTGTCGGGAACTTCATGAAATGGGTTTCCATGACCGAGCAGCCACACACAAGCCTAAGATCACCATGCGCAATGCCAAGCGTCGACTGGAGTGGTGTAAAGCTCGCCGCCATTGGACTCTGGAGCAGTGGAAACACGTTCTCTGGAGTGATGAATCACACTTCACCATCTGGGTTTGGCGGATGCCAGGAGAACGCTACCTGCCCCCAATGCATAGTGCCAACTGTAAAGTTTGGTGAAGGAGGAATAATGGTCTGGGGCTGTTTTTCATGGTTCGGGCTAGGCCCCTTAGTTCCAGTGAAGGGAAATCTTAATGCTATAACATTCTAGACGATTCTGTACTTCCAACTTTGTGGCAACAGTTTGGGGAAGGCCCTTTCCTGTTTGAGCATGACAATACCCCCGTGCCCAAAGTGAGGTCCATACAAGAAATGGTTTGTCAAGATCGGTGTGGAAGAACTTGACTGGCCTGCACAGAGCCCTGACCTCAACCCCATCGAACACCTTTGGGATGAATTGGAACGCCGATTGCGAGCCAGGCCTAATCGCCTAACATCAGTGCCCGATCTCACTAATGCTTGTGGCTGAATGGAAGCTAGTCCCTGCAGCAATATTCCAACATCTAGTGGAAAGCCTTCCCAGAAGAGTGGAGGCTGTTAAAGCAGCAAAGGGGGAACCAACTCCATATTAATGCCCATGATTTTGGAATGAGATGTTCGATGAACAGGTGTCCATATACTTTTGGTCATGTCGTTTATCTCACCCTATGTGAATCTAAGCTGAAAACTGACGGCTACCTAACAAACATACATAACAGTACTACTTTACATTTGTGTTACTGAGTAAGGGGTCAGTGTAAGTCCCTGTGTATTTCTCTAAAAGATAAGGTCATGTTTAGGAAAGAGGGAGCAAGGGCATGTGGTGCTGCTTAATAGCACAATTCATCACTCACCTTAAAAACCACTCCAACCTTAACCTTAGAAGAGATGACGCCTTAACTCTTTCTTGACATCAAGACCTGCAATTGACTTAATAAAAAATCGTGGAGCCTCTTATAATTACACGTGCGCATAATGGCATTGATTATCAGTTGGCTTAAAATAGCTGTCACCATACCAGGGAGAGTCCGTCTTAAACCGAAGCGTCTGATTTCGGGGGAAAGCCTAAACATTTATGGGAATCTATTGTAGAGCGATCTGTGAAAATGGGAGGAGAATCGTGAAGGATAGGGACAAAGCAGGTGCAGTGAGATAGCTCAAGCTGATTATGCATTCATGAAACAAATTGTTCCGATTTTAATTATAGAGAATTAAATTAACACTGACACCTACCCGTAACGAAATCCAAAAGATCAAACTAGATTGGTGCGTTTAGTATTTTCAATATGACATCTAATATTAATATATTTGCATGCAATAACATCCTGTCAAGAGTCATGCATGCATGGTTCCGTTCATGTAACATTCATATTTTATGAATATGCAATGACAAAATAAATATGAAGCATGTATGACCAAGTTATGTGACAAGACAATATCAGATGTCTGTGTATGATGCTGTAATCCAGGGATGGGCAACTGGCGGCCCACAGGCCCCCCTTTGAAGGCCCTCGGATCAATAACCCCCCCCCCAAAAAAAAATATATATATATATATATATATATATATTGTTTTTAGGAACTCAGTCAGGGTCTCAATTTACTGTTGCGAGTTAGAATAGTAGACTACACAAGGTGCAATTTCGAAATGTGGCTGTGCATCAGCAGTTTTACAGTCAGTCAATTAGCCCATGTCAACTAAAAAATGTTTTGTAAGTTAGTTTAGCCGCCAGCTATCTAAACTTGTTATCATCATCGAATTAATGGCGGGGCCCCCATTGATTTTGTTAGTCTCACTCAGATATCATATTAAAAACTGCAAACATTTCTCATGATGAGTTCAGATTTTTTGTGGCCCCCACCCCCATCAAAATTGCCCATACCTGCTTGTAATCATAATATTTTATAAGGGAATCTGAGAAAAACGCGTTATAATAGGCTACCATTAAGTGATTAATAAAAAGCGCATAAAGCATTGCATAAAGGTGATAACATGCGACACATTTTATCAACTGCGTGGGTGTTTTAGATTTATTTCATGTGGTATATGTTTGCCAAGTAACTTCACCACCAACAAGGCCTTTTTGGAAAGCTGTTTTACGCACGAGGCCTCAATGTAAATCGCGAGACATAAATAGGCCTTTCCTTTTAAACTACTGAGGTTTCACCAACGCAACACTCATCCCTAAGTCAAATATTTTCCATGGAATAAGTATTTTGACCCCAATCTATCAAAACTGCGCAATGATGAAGAGAATGTGCAAAATACATTTTCAGCTTTTAGATTATGTGTTGTTCTCCCAATATATGTTGCCTAATTTGACATTTTGCGTTTAGTGGCAATGCATTACTCATGAAAAGCAGCAGACCGCACTGACAGAAAACGTCAAAATGGATGTCAACAAATCTTATAATTTAACATTTTATAAACTACTTCCAATGCTTAATATCAAATTGGTTGTTATAATTTATATTCAAGTTATGTATTGGTTAAATTATTGTTATTGTTCAGCCCATAGCTCACATGACCAATTTGCGCCCACCTCAAAGAGTGCCACTTGATTTAACCCATACCTGAAATCGCTGTATGGATGAATAATCCAATTACCGGCCGATTGGACGCGCGCTTGTTCCTTTTCCACCGCTTTTTGGCTCCCAAACATACGCAGGGAAAATTTATTAACTCCAGGCTGAAGTATGGAACTAAATTGGCGCTGCATATAAGTCCGATTGTCCTGTGGTTCCCCATCATCTGGCACAATCTGGGGTCCATCCTCAGATTTAAAAAATGAGAGAGAATTCCTGTGCTGTTGGTTCTGCACAGAGGACGATGCTTTCCTACTAGGGGCATTTGAGAAGGAAACTCTGGAGTCCTTTTTCTCAGTGCCAGTAGTTGTGGCCCCGGCCACCTCGGCCCCTTGCCGCTGTGCTAAGGACCCGGCTGAGGTGATCGAACCGTCCATGCTGGCGACTCTGGAATTACATCTAGTTGGCCTTTTCCCGTTGTCCGCTGCAACTATTCCACCTGTCTGTTTCTCCTGCCTAGAGACGATGGAAGACAGGCTCCCTGAAATGTTGGGGTCCCTTCTGCAATCTCCGTTGTTGTTGCATATCATACCGGTAGTGCCTTCACCTGTCAAACAAGTAGCCAACCCGGTTACCGCTGCTCCTGTGGCTGAGTCCCCTCCAGCCCTGTGGTATGAGTCGCCACGGCCAGCAGCATCTCCCTGGCATGACAGAGCACAGCTTGTGGCGCCTGTAGGAGCACAAGGTGCGGACTCTTCGCCTTTCATGAGCCACAGCTCATTGTTGATGGAGTTCTTGCGCGCTGTTGACGCTGCTCCCCCTCCTGGCGTAAATTGCTTCATCTTCAAACTTAGACCGTTCATATTGCCTCCGCCACCAACAGAGCCGGCTCCGCACAATAGCGGCTGGAATTTGGACTCCTCTTCTCCTCCCTCCGCGTCGTCCATGACAGCGGGCAGAATGGAGTGCGCGCCTTCGGAACCTTTGCTTGGCGACGACGGGTTCAAAAGCAGACCCAGCCTATTGTATCCAGTGGAAACCACTTTAGGATACAGCACCAGTGGCGTTGCTATGGCTGCAATCTGGCTATTCGTTTCATGTCACATGGAAACAGAGGGCCGTTCTATTACCTATAACCTCAGAGCCCTCCTCTTGCTCATCATGAATGACATCCAAGGGAAGGTTCCAATGTGAGATGACAGCATGTTGAACCAAAGAAAGGAAGGATGAAAAAAAGATTCATGAAGTCATACAAATGTGAAATATTCTATACATTTCAATCTGTTTTGAATATTGTATTCTGAACACAAATAGTTTGTGAAACACATTCAAATGCAATAGTAGCCTTGAAAGGTCAATGGATCAACACATTGGAAAAACAACTATATTTTATGCACAGCATGCGTGTGTAATGACCAAATAATACTGGTGGATTACTTCACCTGAGAAAAGGAATAGTTGTGCCAATATAGGCTACAATATCCACCAGTCCAGATATGTCGATTTATTCAAGACACATTGATAGGCTGTGTCAACCATACCACATAGAATCACAATGGTTCCTCCACTGATGATTAAATGGCACCCTCTTGTGTCGAATCTTCTCAGAATGATTTGGGTGTGTAGGTCTACTGATGTAATGTTGTACAGTGAGTCTATTAGTGGTTTGGCCTATGAAAATCAGACTTTTACTCCACTCATTTACTAGTCCCTAGGACCTAGGCAGACAAATTGCCTCCCACAATGTAAACAATGTTCCAGCATACTTAGTGCTTTTGTCATAAGTCTGCGATTTCCAAGACTACTCCATTACCATTAGGTAACTCCTTCTGTATGCCAGCTTCAAGTCATGCCATTTACCTGAGGGCCAACACCTTGCTGTACAAACCTATTGCCAATGACCATCCAGGGCACTTAATAAAAAAATTACTTTATAGCTTTACATGTGGGATGGCCTATAGCATTATATTGCCTTGTGGAAATAAACAAAAATGTCCATCTTATTCAAGCAGTAACAGACAATAGACCACATCTCTTAAAATCAAATAACTTTATTGAGTTTGTGCAAATTGGTACAGTTCTGTTGAATCTACTTAGTTACTTTTAGGCAAAATTTGACACCAAGTCATTTTTTACATATACTTCTTAAACTAATGGTGCACATCCAGTCACAATACTAATCAGGCCTGATTAATGTCACTTTCCCCCAGCCCTATAACTAACACACCTGATTAAACTAATTGCATTCTAAACTGAAGACCATGATTAGCTGATTATTGGAGTCAGGTGTGCTAACAGGGGCTGGGGCAAAAGTATATCAGTGTCCAAACATTTCACATCCCTAGTAGGATCCATGTTGCTTAACAGGTGGCTGTTCAGGCTTGCAAACATAAGAGCAGATATTTAGAATAGTGAGGGACAGTGGAGGAAGCTATAAGCACAAATAGAAAAACCACCAATAGATCATTCCCACGTAAACGTTTACAATGGATTTCACTACGAACAAACTTCTAGAACGGCAATAAAACTCATGCAAAAGCCTAAACATGTTCCCCGGCAGCACAATATGGAGAGAAATATAGAAGAAAAGTGAGAGGAAAATTCAGTCCATTTCTCAAGACACTAACTTTCAAGAAAAAAATTAAAAGTTGTTTAAAAATCGCAGGGTGCACTAGATTATGTGATGCTCAGCAAACCAATGCTCTTCATCCTGGAAGATGGTCATCAGGATATCTGTCCGGAAAGACAGGGGACTGACAATTAGATTGATGAGAGCTCAACCACTACAGGAGTTGTACTGCTTTGATTTTGCAATCAGAATAAATTAATTTGAAATAGGCGCATCCTGTCGAGTGGATTGATTCAAAAGCCCTCACACACACACACACCTCTCTCATCTTCTCTCAGTTGGAGTTCCTTTGCCTGACGTCCTTGTGGTTTGTGGCAGCATTGCTTTTCCTGAAAGACATTTTCCATCCAGAACTTTACAGTCCATCCAGCAATGTATATATTTTCTTGGTGAGAAATTGTATTGCATTTTTAAATGTCAGTGTGAAATGTGTACTTACAGGGGAGCAGAACCTGAGTCCTCATCTATACAGCAGCACAGGGACAAGGGAAAAGATTAGTCAACAGCTGAGACTGTCTAGTCAGTGAGACATTCTACTAATGAGAGTAAGGCATGGAGAAGGCATTCTTTCCACAGACAATGAAGGAAATGGTGACAAAGTTCCAAGTACTTCTTTAAGTAGGCCATTGTCAATTAAGCAAAACAAAAAACAAGCGTACACTGCCATAGATCTATCTACAATAAGAAAATACAGTTACATCGCTTGAACTTTATTAAAATAACCTACGATAAATCCTTTTATTTAAAGAAACTGCAGTTATGACAAATCTACCTTCACTGTATCCCAACTATGATACCATATCGTCTTTCAGGAACAATCTGTTCTGAACAACACTCAAAATCATGCAAACAGGGCAACCAAGTGAAAAGAGAAACCTTGCAGTGACAATGCAACACCGAAAACGGTTATAGACAAAGCGTACAGGCATACTGCAGATCAAAAGGAACCATCTGGACATGACCGTTTATTCACGGTTAAATCAAAGAGTAGGTGCCCTCAGTCAATGAATGAGATCAATGACATGATATCCATATTACAAAAAGCTAAAATTACTTATCATGCATGGAGATCAAGATGCAGATGGCATGCAAGACAAAATATTAAAAGGTAGATACAGAAATATGACATAACCAGCCAAGTAACTTCCTGCTTGCAGACAACAGTTGTTGTTGATGTCTGTAAGCACGAAGTTGGCCCCTGTGTATGATGACATCATACTGCTGTGTGTACCTTTAAAACCCTAAACCCTTAGGCGTTTCCAACACTTCATACCATGACATTGGGCCTTATTTCCTCCATCTCCACATAAAATCACATTACTTAGGCTATTTGACCCTTTCCTTGGTGTGACAAAAACACATTGATTGGTGGTCATAAAAATATGGCTAAGTTTTAGCAGTCTGAAAATGTAATTCAAATTTAGCCCAGGTTGGTCTAATGTAGGAATGCAAGGCCAGTGGAAGAGTTCCTTATTAGATACATTCTTAACAAGTGAACGCAGTGCATTCCCATAGCTTCTCAGTTACTATCATCTCAGGTCAACCACTTCCGCCTGACATGCAGTTTTGATCACTTACCAAAACGCAAATGCAGCAGCGAACAGAGAAATACAAAATGGAGAAAAGGTGTTCTAATAGAAAACCAATTGCTTTTGATCTAATGAAATTACTAAAATCATAAGTGGAAAACATATTTTAAAATTGCAAATCAAGAAGACCACGTAAAATAACAGTAAACCTGCTATATCCAAACCATTAAGAAAATACTAAGTGTTTAGATATCATTAAAATGGCAGCTAATGCACAGCAATCTTTGGAGAATGACAGTGCATCTGAAACTAAGAGACTGTTCTGCCACTGGAGGGCAGCAGACACTCACAGCCAAATCATATTGACTTGGCGAGGTATGCTACTTCAGAAATAATTAATGGCAAAACAAGAGTACTTCATTTCTCTGCGGGTGTGTCTACGTACCGTCGTTGATCTCATCAGGCTTTCTCCTCTTCTCGTAGATGAAGATGATGCTGACCAGGATGATGACCTCGGCCACGATGCCCAGGAAGGGCCAGAGGGCAGCCAGGCGGCTACGGACACGCAGGTGGATCTTGTCGAAGGCCGAGCTCACTTCGCTGGCCCCGTAGCACATGTAGTCACCCATGTCCATGTCCATGTCCATGTCGTTGATGGTCAGGGTGGTCCTGTTGGGGGTGCTCTTGATCTCATACCGGTCAGTTCCGTTGGTGATGGCCTGAGAATGCCATAGACCGGGAGCAAAAAGTCATTCAACACCCATTTACAGATTTCAATACTTCTCTCTTATCTAGGGCAGAGACCTCTTTGGATAGTACTTGTGCGTGTGACATTACTGTGACTTCAATCAAGATATTGATTTAGTCAACGACTCCTAACATTGGAAAATATCTGCAGCACGGGTGAGGGAGTTCAATCACTCAGTTCAGCCCAGCATCAGGGTCTATTTTGGCTCAGTGAAACCAATTTTGTTAAGCCTAATGTGTATCAGTGATGTAAAGTTTGGTAAAGCGTACCTTCTTCAGCATCTCTTCTCCTTCCAGTTTGTACCACTTCCAGTCAGTATGCAGTGGGTATCCATGACTGACACAAACCAGCACACCCTTGTCCTGCTCATTTCCATGCTCGGAGCGTTTATAGGCAGAGACATGGAGAGCAGCTAGTGACAAACATAGGGATGCAGGTTTTTATGGGATAGCCAATATGTACGATTCATCCGAAACACCTGCAGTTTATAAACAAATTGGCTATTTAAGCCTGTTACAGCTTTCAGATACTCAAAGTGCACTAAAAAGGTAGTAACATTCATTGGCATAGCTAATATGTCAGTAAAAGAGACTTCCCTTTATTTTAAAAGAAGTTAAAAAAGGATGACTTACTTTTGACTTCAATGGATTTCTTCACCTCAGGCTCAGAGAGGAAGACGCACTCATATACTCCACCGGAATGGAAATCAATTTTAGCCAAGCTAATGGAGGAAAAAAAAACAAGAACAAAATGTAAGCCCTAAAGATAGGAAACATAGGCCTTCTACAACACAGACTTCACTCAAACAATGGCTTCGAACACATCCCAGTCATGAAGTCACTTTGCCTGTAAAAACACACTACAAAATATGCTGCCCCAACATGCTGAACTTCAAATAGCACCCTGTTGCTGTTGAGAATTAGGAAATAAAAATGCCTCTCTCCTTGTTACAAACGCTTCTACTTCCCCCTGGTAACAACAATCAGACTTTTGTTTTGGCAATGGAACCCTCCCTGCTCTTTACGTCTGATGGGGAATTAAGGTCAGTGCGAATGAAAGAGTGGAACTGCTAGGGGCACTTATCCGTGACGTTGCCAAGGCTATAACCAAAGCTGCACAGTCCATCTCGCTGCTAATTAATGGCTGGGAATGCCTGGGCATGGCCTGGAATGCTACCACTAATGGATGGTGTGTGTGTGTGTGTGTGTGTGTGTGTGTGAGTGAGCGAGAGTGGGGGAGAGCTAACGAGTTACCATGTACAAAATATATGGAGGAAAGGTCGGAGTGGTGCTTCATTCATTCATTCATTCATTCATTCAGGGCTGCTGAGCGGTCAATCTCTGTGTGACCTACCGTGCTGCTGACCAAACAAACAGGCTTGGGAGACCGTGAAATGTACCAGTAAATGGTGGCTAATAATGACAAGCAACGACTGCTAGGTTCAGGACAATAGCTGAATCTCGAATCAGCGAGCCCAGCTCCGGGAAATCGTTTTATCGCTCAGATGGGAGTCCCGTCCATCTGGTGGATCAAACATGCAGATCAAAACATGTAGACACACGCTGCCTACCTGGCTGGCACTTACTTGTGTTCGGTGTAGAGAGCAGGAGAGTCCTTCTTCGTTGACTCGATCACATTGCCATTCCTCATCCAGTAATGACCTTTGACTATGGACGTGGGGTTGGTCAGATTGCACGAGAGGATGGCAGAGGTCTGGTTGTTCACCTCCATAGGTGAAGACACGATTAAGGGATCTGTAGACAAAGTGAACATATTAATAAGCCATCCTTTGATATGACCACATCTAGCTGGATCATTACCGTAGTAATGTTAACACGAGGACAAGCCAAGTGTAACTAATTCTTGCTTGTCTTTTCAAGTACAGGATATTGCTCAAATAGTTTAGGGTAACTAAAGACACACAAACAAAACAAAAAAAAGATCTAAGATGTAGATTTCATCCAAATTTACAAGGAATTTATAGGGTTTACAGGTCATATGGCATCTTGATACCAACATGTTGCAGCACAAACCTTGAGACTGTTCAGGGCTTGACATTGCTTTACTATCCTTTAACCTAAACCTCATAGTGACAACTGATAAGGTCTAGCTTAGGTTGTCAAAGGTTATTTTCATAATCAAATTTCAAGCCAAGAACAGCACAATATAAAATGGCAGCGCAGAGCTTTCCAAGAAGAGGCGGATCACACATGGGCAGGCACCTAAATGGAGAGCTCGGGCTGAACCAAGAGTTCAAGAGAAGAGGGGTTACACTGGGAAGTTAATCTAGGAGACCATGAGGAGAGGAGCTTGTAATCAACACATGCAGAAGAAGCAACCGGCAAGGTATGGTGTGGCAGGTTGCTGTTACAATGACAGAGAAGAGGAACGAATAAGAGGATCTTTTGGTTTGGTTCAGGTAGAGAAATCCACAAATAGTCAATAAATACTGGACCACAAGGCAGAAAGATGCCCTATGGCTGAGAATCAACACAAAGCTGGGTTGCTGTCTTCTGTAGATAATTTAGTACTCCTAAAGAGCCTAAAACAGGTCTAAAGAGTGTAAACACAACAGGACAGTGCCCATGTTAGTATCAATTATTACACATTCTATTACTTGGACAAGACAGCAAAATAGACAAAATGGAAGCCAGCAAGAAGCTAACCACACCATAATCTGACCCCTTTAAAAAGAAAATGACAATTTCATGATTCAAAAATTAGATGCAGCCATTTGCAGGTTTCAGACCTTATGACCAGTATTATCAATATTATGTGAAATATATTTTCCTAATTCATTTAAATAAAAGGCTTTGACATAGGCCTGGTAAAAAGGCATCAGATTGAGGGTAGTGCTACGGCAGGTAGGACATGTCTAAGGAGAGGTCCGGCCACGCCTTGTGGTCAGGTTTGCTCTCCACTACTGGACATCACAGGAGCTCAGTGAGGGGAGAGTAGGGGAGTCTGGGTGAGACAGGGCAAAGGGCAGGAGAAGGTGTGGGACAGGAGCTGGACCACTCGCTGTCCTCTCTACAGGGAGACGCTGCCTGGCTGTACGCATGGCATGGCCTCCCACCACCACTCACTCACATTCAAACACTATAACGTTAGCCTGTGAGCGGATCCACTTGATTTTGGGTGCCTTCTTCAGCTCGTTGCGGTCGGGGTCGTTGGAAGCGCGGCACTCGTACGTGCCCGAGTCATTGAGCGTGAGGTTTAAGAGGTGAATGGAGCTGGTGGCGTGCTGGATGTAGGTGGCGTTGATCCCGACGCGGTCTTCCCGCGCCCCATCGAACAGCTGGGTCATGGTCTCGTCGGGCTCCTCACCCTCTATGAACCACCACTGCACCTCAGGGATGGGGTTCCCGGTCACCTCACAGTGTAGCTCTGCAATGTCCTCTATCAGTTTCATCTGGGACAGGGGCGACTTGACAAAACCAGCTGAACAGGCCATCGTGGGGGGAGGGATTGATTATATTGATTTGGGTTCAGATTGGTTTTAGCACATCCGGCAATTTTATGGAGGTGAAAGTAAAACATGTGATGGAAAAGGCAAGCAGGCAAAAAAAGAAAGAAACAAGAGGTTAATAGAACACATGAATGAGAAATGGCACTTCGAAAGAGTAGGGGTTTGAGTATCAGCATTTTAACCAAAAACAGTTCATGCCAAATGGCTTTTTAGAATCCTTGATAATCAGACCCATTGCAGATACAGAAAAGTTGAATGACGTGCATTAAATCAAAAGCCGCTGATAAAACCAGATACATTTCATGAAGGTCAACTGAAAAGAATGAAATGTAGTTTTTGTTATTCATTGCACATGAGTAGGCAAAGCAGATGGATGAAAATGCTATTAAAAATGTCAGATATGATTCAAAATTGTGTCTGTAAATGTATTAAATTCTCTGTCGGTTTGTCAGTGTTGATGAGAAGTGCAGGGCTTAGTTATTAAATCAAACACCTGATCTGACGTTGAGGACAATCTGTACAGGATTTAATACCCAGGAGGAGCAACGGAGGAATAAAATTCGCACGGCGCGAGGGAAGCTGTGTAGAGTTAGCCCCCTGTAGGGTCATTTCTATTGAATTCCACAAAACAATCTTAAATCAACACACAGGAGAACAAAACCTTTGCAGACTTTCAACATCCAGGCCCACTTGCATAAACAATCCAGGAGATCAATGATGAGGAAATGCTTGAGAACAAACTCAGGGATCCCTATGTAACGCTGCTTGAACAAAGACAACCATGTTTTCAGACAATGTCTGAGCCACACCCTTTCTCTTTATTGTATTTTTGCATAGTAGGACAATAACAAGAGGTGGTGGTAGGTGGACATTTTCTGAATAGTTGGCCCCCTAAAGACCGGAGACAGCATGTCCAGAGTCAAACTTGTGAATCGAATTGGGGTTGGTGGCACGGGTGGCTCTGGCTCTAAAAATCATGTGACCTTTTAGCTCAGGGTGGCGGGATCCTTTTAACCATTGCAAAAGGTCACCTTCGTAACAAATGCTGTACAAAACAAATGTAGATACTGACTTCACATAGGCCTGAATGAAAATCATACCTAAATTAGGTGTGTTTCTAGCTTGTATCAAACTTTATTTAACCCACCAGGAAGTTCCACCTGGAGAATTTTTTTTTTTAAACAAATTTTGGAAGGAGACCTGACCAAGAAGACAGCTCCAGTATACCCCTCCTGAAATCAGCGTGACTAGCATAGCAAAAGGACAGAGGACTGACTGCTTGGAATGGTTGTCAAGTTAATGTGTTACAGCTTTCTAAGGACATAGGGCCACCTACTTATTGTAAACAACTAGGTTTCTATTTTGTGTGAATGTTAGCTGAGGACAAATAGGATGTTTCAAAAGCAGGTGTGATAGGCGTGTAAATGCTAAATATAAAACAGGAACACAAAATGTCCTGCAACAGGTGAGAGAAAAAGTCAGATAGCCTAGAGCTCAAATCTGCACCCTATATTGTGAAAATACAGTAGCCTTTCTTGACATTCACACTTCACAGGTTCCACTAGCATTGATTAGTGAGTAAGAATTTGATCATGGTCATTACAGTTGTTTGTATGCAGCATTTAGCCTACCCATAGTGACCAATTATGCCGACAGAAAATGGACAATCAAAATCGCAAACCAACAACATGAATCCTGAACACACTATTCAGGGCACAGGGTCAGACTGTGCAACAAATGCTACTAGCAAAGATTTTATCTGACATATATACGTATCAATATTCTATTACATAAACAATGGCCTTTTATGAGCCCACCCTACTTCATGACTCCGTTCATTTTACATTTACGTCATTTAGCAGACGCTCTTATCATTTGAATAGGAAATGCTTCAAAACTTGCTTTTCCTGACCTTGTTTAACCGAAGGGTAAATGGCTGCCTGCTTTCTATAACCTACTTCTCAAACCAAGTGGAAATATAGCGCAATGGAAATATAATTGTATTAATGATCTGGAGCTGCCATAGTGGAGCCCAGCCCATCCAGCATGGGGACTGCCTGTGTGCTGTAGCTTCAGAGGCATCTGCATTCCCCTGGGACATGCCCTCTGAAGCTTTCATGCCACTCTGTATATCTGGGTCAATGGAGGACCTAGCATAGTAAAAGGACAAATGCAAAGTCCAGTTTCCCCAAACTGTCCTGGCAAAAATCAATCTTTTTTGTTAGGTTTACCCATTTAAATTGTTGAGAGCATATAGAGCAGGCTACAGTGTGTGTGTGACTTATCTATCAAATCAGCTTTTGAAAATACAAAGCAAGTTCCCCAATAATTTGGTCCGGTTTTGAGGATTAACCAAAACCATTAGGCCTAAGATGTAGCCATTTTCACACCAAATTAAAGGAGCTAGCAATCTACATGCAAGAATATTATACACCATCCCCATCATTCCTTATCTAGAATGTTTTAGTGTCATTAATTGGTCCAAAACACATTGAATCATCATAAATCAGTCCACATACTGCCTTGTTTCTTTGACACTGAACATAAGTTAATAAAATGGACCGTCACTCTGAATTGGCAAAGTTAACAATGAGCGCATGATGCACGGCATGCAATGCTTTACTAAGTACTCAAGGTTGCGTAATGTATATAGACTGCCATGGCTTGAGGCTCTTCCAGGCTTAGAAAGTCAGCACAATCTTAAATAGACAAGGCAGTGGTTGTGACGGAACATTATAAGGAGATTAAGGTCATCTAATTTTGTTGCAATCTCTGCTAAAAACAAGCTTCCACAACAATCTTGTAAACAAAAAGCTTCTTGTTTGTTTGACACATTCATTACATTTGGGGCGGCAGGTAGCTTAGTGGTTAAGAGCGTTGTGCCAGTAACCGAAAGGTCGCTGGTTCTAATCCCCGAGCCGACTAGGTGAAAGATCTGTCGATGTGCCCTTGAGCAAGGCACTTAACCCTAATTGCTCATGTAAGTCGCTCTGGATAAGAGCGTCTGCTAAATGACTAAAAATAAAATAAATAAATACAAATAAATTTGTAATCATATAGAAACGTAATATTCAGTGTGAATTTAAATGTGGTAGCATGTTGTACCTCTTGAATAATTGTATGTTATTCATCTCCATAGAAATGCTACATATGATTGAGGTAAAACATAGGCCAACTTTATTTATTTAAAAAGGGACGTCTTTATATGACACAGCAGCTAACCTGCTAGTTAACATCTAATGGTTCAGGCAGGCACACTGGTCTACACCGGTTTAAAGACTGTAGCTAAAACAAGCCAGAGGCACAAGCTGAGCTTTGGCTCTCACACAAAACTAGCTGAGACTTCAAACACACGTGTCTGGTTAGTCTGCTAATTTACAAATTCAACAACTGGCAACACTAAAAAAAAACATTGTCTGGTTTATGAAGAAATAAACCAACGTCTATGATATTTGGCCAAAGGTGATGTTGGTCACGGTGAGGGATCAGGTGAAAAATGTGCAAGCTAGCTAGTAGATACTAGTAGTAAATGTTGTTGACACTAGATTGCCTATTTAAAACGAGAGTTATTTAATACAACTATATTCTTGATGATGGCAGGTTGCAATATGAAAACTATTTTTATCTAACGTTAACCATTACAATAAGTCACCAATTTTGATCACTGCAATGTGTATAAATTAGCTACCTGGTTAAGCCATTCATAGATGCTAACTACCTTTAGCGCCTATTGAACATAGTATCTTCTTGCCGGAGGAGTTTAGTTAAGAGCCCAGAAGCTTGTTCTGAATATTAACACGCACCACTTGCGGTACGGTTTTGGAAACATAAGGAACGTAGCCATCTTTCATATCAGCAAGAAATCATTTTCAAAAAACAAAAAAGGTTCAAATACTACACACCTTTAAAGGGTTCGTGTTCCCACACTGCCATGTTACTGCGCCGGTGTACAGAAGACAGACGATAGATTTAAAAAATAGACAGAGGCGACCACCTATGCTAATTAGCCATCTAGCGTGCTCTAACACACTGTAGCGAAAGTATAGTTCATCAGATGGTTGGCAGAAAATAACGACCCTACCGTTACTCTTGTTCACACTGAGCTGCACTGGGGTTGGAAAACTTACCTCAATGCATGAATGGGATATGCTACTGTACCTTTATCCACACTGCTCCATTGAGAATATAAATATGTATAGTTTTCTGGAAAAGTGCCCTTTTTGTCCTTGTGCTAGCGAGCAGTAGCCATTATGGAATTAAACTTTGCGTAGAACAAAGGCGCTGATTGGCTAACAATGCCATTCCAAAATGGCTGTGGTGGCTACTGCAAGCTAGCATGAGGAGGAGAAGGGCCGTTTTACGGGAAAACTAACAGTATTTCAATCTTCTTGATGTATCAGTTATGAATAAAGGTACAATTTGGAGCAGAGTTGCATATCCCATCCCTGCATCGAGGTACGCTTTCTGACCTATATCTCACGCTGGCTCCACATTGCATTCCTACCCTAGTGCAGCTCAGTGTAAACAAGCATAACGGTAAGGTCAGTATCTTCTGGCACACAGCATATGGATCTGTGCAAACCTGCTACAGTAGCTAAGTGTATTTTTTTTATATTTTATTTTTTTAAGAGTCTTTCTCGCTGATATGATAGGGCCATATCAGCATATGTTTCGAAAACCGTTTAGCAAACGATAATTGACGTTCTTAAATGCCTCGAAATTGTAATTCACATGGAGCCAACCGTGGACGAATTTTATAATATACTAGCTAGTTATTTATGAATATTGTTGCAAATCATCCCATTTTTGTCAGAACTCTCTCTGGTTTAACGATACACAGTTGACGTTACCTGGATAAACATGACTGCGAGTCTGAAATGATCAATGGTTCTGCGCTTGGAACGCTGTGACCATTATTACTAGCTAACGACGTTAGCCAACTTAGCTAACGCATTACAAAATAACGTTTTGTTTCCTAGCTAGCTAGCCACTCGTTCATTTTCCAAAGTACCTAGATGGCAAAGGTTGACTGCTTGAAAAACGTTGGAAAACATTCAACTGTAAAAATACTGTCTTAACTACGTGCATGAAAGCACAGCATCAAATAAGTAATTGAAAAGCGCTAACGTTAGCTTGTTTGCTAGCAAGCCAGTGAGTTAGCACGGCACACACAACCGAGTTATTCTAACTCAATGACTGTATATGAGGCCTAACTGCTAACTAGCTAGAAAAAAATATTACCTGTCAGGGCATTGGCTCGGTACAAGCACAAGAGGAGGGCACTTAAACCCCACAGCAATTTCATTTCGACGATTTCCTTTTCTGGCACAGATATATACTGTCAATTTCAATTGTTTTTAAAAAATATGTTCGCTTGACTCTTCTCCACCATCGACCGAGTTGGTCGTCCTCTGTTTGTTCCTCAACTCAATCGGTAACGTCGGGAACTAGCACGTACACATGACGTTCGGGCGTGACCAAGATACATTTCATTACCAAACCACAGAGTTTCTAATCCCAGAGTAACATCACTTCCGGGAACGCTTGCGAAACAGACTTCATTCCAGTGAGCAGATAAGGCCAGGGTTTGAGTAGTCAATGGGCGCGTTTGAGTTGTAAGGCAAAAGTAGCCGACTGTAGACAGAAGTTGGACAGTAAAGTCGGGGGAGGTACATTTGCGCCAACAGCAAGTCGGACAACTTCTGCTGTTTTTGTGACAGACATGGCATTCCCCTTTGTTACTGCTGATGAAGTGGATGCTATCGAAACTTCTCCTGCATCAACATGTGCCAAGGAATGAATATCAATTAGACTTTTGCTTTCAAAAGCAGCTCAAATATAACGTAAGAATGAACTAGCCATTGAATTATACCGTGAAAATATATGCACGCTCTAGAATGCCCTTCAAGCCAATCAAAAACAAGTATCCAACAATGCCATGGTATTATTAAGCATTATAAACTGGTTGTTTCGAGCCCTGAATGCTGATTGGCTGACCGCCGTGGTATATCAGACCGTATACCATGGGTATGACAAAACATTGTCCATATACCATGGCTAAGGGCTGTTCTTATGCACAACGCAATGCGGAGTGCCAGGACACAGCCCTTAGCCGTGGTGTGTTGGCCATATTTATATGCCATTTAGCAGACGCTTTTATCCAAAGCGACTTACAGTCATGCGTGCATACATTTTTTTTTTTTGTGTATGGGTGGTCCCGGGGATCAAACCCACTACCTTGGCGTTACAAACGCCGTGCTCTACCAGCTGAGCTACAGAGGACCCCCAAAGTGCCTTATTGATATTATTAACTGGTAACCAATGTAATTAGAGCAGTAAACCCACCCAGTTTATAAGCATTGATAATAACCAATTATGGGTGGCAACATCAACCATTTATGAGCATGTAGTGCCTTTTTCTTCCAAACAACAGGTTGTCTCCCACAATGCTTTTAATCCAACTTCAAGATGCAGTTGGTGAGGAGCATGACCTTTGATCACATGGTTGTTGTAAAGGTCATGCAGTTGAAATGTAGGCACAAGTCGGACAATTTTTATATCCATAATACAACACACTTTGAAAGGCGGTGACCAACATTGGTCAACGTCTTGCCAAAAGTGATCCGCTCGAACGTGCCCATTGAGAGATGTGAAAAATTATTCCTTAGTTGTTAATTTTTCTCGAAATCTAAAGGCACGACCTAGATTCGAGCCAATGTCTTATGTAGTAAACAAGTTATTACTCCAACCTAGTGAAAGTGACAAACTGACACGTTTTCATTTTCGTAAAAAAACACTTTATATTGAAGGAGTGCCTTTGAGTTGACGGCCTGCACGTGTTCAGTTTGGCCAGTCAGACCGGATGAGGTGTTGCTGCGCATGAGTTTAGCTAGCCAACGTCGCCATGACATCGTCTATCGGGGAAGCAGTTTCTTCCTTTATTTTACCAGGTAAATTGACTGAGAACATATTCTCATTTACAGCAACGACCTGGGGAATAGTTACAGGGGAGATGAGGGGGAATGAATTAGCCAATTGGAAGCTGGGGATGATTAGGAGGCCATGATGGTATGAGGGCCAGATTGGGAATTCATACTCAACGGTCTTTGACAAAACCCCCTTTGTAAAATCACATCCAAGGAAATTCTCCCTATTTTTTGGGGCATGTCACTCATGGATGTTTTTCTCATACAATACCCGACAACCATTTATATGGTTTCCTCTTAAAGCGGTTCAGGAAATCTCACTAAATAGATAGGCAGGTGTATCAGTGGCAATTAACCTAGAGACCTACTACATTGCTTTTGAGGAAATGACAGCTTGAGAAATTGCTTTGAATTATAATAGAAACAGAATTGTGGCAAGCAATTCTGAAAATCAAAGTGTATAAGACTTGCCATGTCTACTCTAGCAAATTTACTAATTACTCTGTTTTAGAAGCAAAAAAGTACTTTATTTGAAATGTGATCTCATTCATGAGGATCATGTTTAAAAAGAAAAAAGAAGTGAAGTACCAATGTTGGATTGGATCTGTTGTACAATAGGCATATCCAATTATACTTAAAGTACATTAGATACCGTATAAATAAATATTTGGTACTAAAATGCAGCAGGCACTGGATTTGTAGTGTAACGTGTATCCAAGACATGCCCTTTGGTTGATCTCACAAGTAAAAAACAACTGGACAACAATTATTTTCCCTTAACTAAACACCGTGCCAAAGAGGTGTAATTTCCAGTGTTGATCATTAAGGAGTTCATTGTATTACCCTCTGATGAGTTCACAACTAAATGTGATATCATTTGTCTAAATGGGGGAGTATGGGAGACAGTCCCAGAACGATTGTCAATTATAGCGCTTGAAAACAATCGTTATTTCCATTATGCAACAAGGCTTTGTTTTATATAGTGTGACAAAACAATTGGCTATCATTTTACATTTACGTCATTTAGCAGACGCTCTTATCCAGAGCGACTTACAAATTGGTGCATTCAACTTATGATAGCTAGTGAATAGTTGTATTGTTGTCTCAGGCAACCTCATCGAAGGGTTGTGTGACAAACAGTAGCCGTTTTGTATTACACTCCCACCTAGTGTCAAACCCATGTAGGCATGAGGAAATGCATAAGTAATCTACACTGAGTGACTGAAATCTACTAGATAACCCATGAGTTATAACAAGATATTGGTCTGATAGCATTAGCATTTTGGGGACAATATATAGATGTTTTAACTACTGAGCACCAGATTTCCGTCCAGATATGTTTATGATAAGCTTTATACACTGCTCAAAAAAATAAAGGGAACACTTAAACAACACATCCTAGATCTGAATGAATGAAATAATCTTATTAAATAGTTTTTTCTTTACATAGTTGAATGTGCTGACAACAAAATCACACAAAAATTATCAATGGAAATCAAATTTATCAACCCATGGAGGTCTGGATTTGGAGTCACCCTCAAAATTAAAGTGGAAAACCACACTACAGGCTGATCCAACTTTGATGTAATGTCCTTAAAACAAGTCAAAATTTGGCTCAGCAGTGTGTGTGGCCTCCACGTGCCTGTATGACCTCCCTACAATGCCTGGGTATGCTCCTGATGAGGTGGCGGATGGTCTCCTGAGGGATCTCCTCCCAGACCTGGACTAAAGCATCCGCCAACTCCTGGACAGTCTGTGGTGCAACGTGGCGTTGGTGGATGGAGCGAGACATGATGTCCCAGATGTGCTCAATTGGATTCAGGTCTGGGGAACGGGCGGGCCAGTCCATAGCATCAACGCCTTCCTCTTGCAGGAACTACTGACACACTCCAGCCACATGAGGTCTAGCATTTGGAGGAACCCAGGGCCAACCGCACCAGCATATGGTCTCACAAGGGGTCTGAGGATCTCATCTCGGTACCTAATGGCAGTCAGGCTACCTCTGGCGAGCACATGGAGGGCTGTGCGGCCCCCCAAAGAAATGCCACCCCACACCATGACTGACCCACCGCCAAACCGGTCATGCTGGAGGATGTTGCAGGCAGCAGAACGTTCTCCACGGCGTCTCCAGACTCTGTCACGTCTGTCACGTGCTCAGTGTGAACCTGCTTTCATCTGTGAAGAGCACAGGGCGCCAGTGGCGAATTTGCCAATCTTGGTGTTCTCTGGCAAATGCCAAACGTCCTGCACGGTGTTGGGCTGTAAGCACAACCTCCACCTGTGGACGTCGGGCCCTCATACCACCCTCATGGAGTCTGTTTCTGACAGTTTGAGCAGACACATGCACATTTGTGGCCTGCTGGAGGTCATTTTGCAGGGCTCTGGCAGTGCTCCTCCTGCTCCTCCTTGCACAAAGGCGGAGGTAGCGGTCCTGCTGCTGGGTTGTTGCCCTCCTACGGCCTCCTCCACGTCTCCTGATGTACTGGCCTGTCTCCTGGTAGCGCCTCCATACTCTGGACACTACGCTGACAGACACAGCAAACCTTGCCACAGCTCGTTTTGATGTGCCATCCTGGATGAGCTGCACTACCTGAGCCACTTGTGTGGGTTGTAGACTCCGTCTCATGCTACCACTAGAGTGAAAGCACCGCCAGCATTCAAAAGTGACCAAAACATCAGCCAGGAAGCATAGGAACTGAGAAGTGGTCTGTGGTCACCACCTGCAGAACCACTTCTTTATTGGGGGTGTCTTGCTAATTGCCTATAATTTCCACCTGTTATCTATTCCATTTGCACAACAGCATGTGACATTTATTGTCAATCAGTGTTGCTTCCTAAGTGGACAGTTTGATTTCACAGAAGTGTGATTGACTTGGAGTTACATTGTGTTGTTTAAGTGTTCCCTTTATTTTTTTGAGCAGTGTATATATATATATATATAATAGAAGTGTTATTAAACCAATACATAATAATTCACTTGAATATTGAGCGGTAACACCCAAAACATCTTTATTTTCACATCGGTTAATGTTTTGTTCAAGGTTTTACATCATCTGCAAATCAATATTCCACTTTAAATTGTCTATTGTGAATTTTACAAAAACATTTAATTAACTTAAAATAAGTTGCACTGAAACTTGCTGATTATGTATGATCGAATAAGAAAACGCTGAGTTAGAATGCGTCTAGCATGTTAACTACAATGGATCCAGCACCCAAATAAATTATCCAAAAAAACACCAAGCCAAATGTAGTTTGTTTCTTAATTGAAAGAGCAAAACAATGGCACCAGGGCAACTTAAGTCAGTAAGAAACAGATACCAAATGAGGTGGACCATACTTTTCTCGTCAATGATTTTGAAAAATCTTCTACTCAAAAACTGGAAATCAAATGATCCTCCATCACTCCCGAGTGGCATCGCAGTGCTAGCTGTGCCACTAGAGATCCTGGTTCGAATCCAGGCTCTGTCGTAGCCGGCCGCGACCGGGAGACCCATGGGGCGGCGCACAATTGGCCCAGCGTCGTCCAGGGTAGGGGAGGGAATGGCCGGCAGGGGTGTAGCTCAGTTGGTAGAGCATGGCGTTTGCAACGCAAGGGTTGTGGGTTCGATTCCCATGGGGGGCCAGTATGAAACATGTATGCACTCACTAACTGTAAGTCGCTCTGGATAAGAGCGTCTGCTAAATGACTAAAATGTAAATCACTATGACAGTGGATTAATCAAAAGTATTATTTAAATATTGAAAAGGTGTGGGCTACAGAAAAATAGAACAGTGCAATTTGAGGCCAGATGGCATAGAGTGCTACAAGCACTGGAAAGTTCCAGGGGATTAAGGATGAGTGGGAGTGTGGTTGAGACATACGTGATGTGTATGGTTGTGGTGGGAACATGTGGGTCTGAGCAGGTGTGATGTCATTGATGTTTGTTGAAATTTGTGTGCGTTGGTTTATTGGTCTTTTGTTTATGTATGCTTGTTATTGTTTGAGAAAATTGTAAAATCGTACAAAAAAATAAATGTAAGAATGGTAAATTCATATGTACTTAAAAAAAATAAAACACTAAACATTTGATAAGATGTTTCCAATCCATGGAAACAAGCTGCAGAATCCAAACCAAGTACACATCGTATACTCAGCCTCCTTCCTTCACCCCTGAAAGTTCCCTTGAGGCCTTTAGCTGTACGGATATGGATGTTACTTTAAAAAAAAGAATGTAAACAATATATATTTCTCCTTTTTCACTAATTGCTGTGCAGACAAAGTATTAAAATTCATATACCTCTCGATGTAAAACAACAACTGTCTTGGTAAGAGGTCACCAGAAAAACCTCCCCACCCCTGTCCGCCCTCAGAATGCAGGACTAACTGGCTTGTTCTGTTGTTGCATGATGGTTATCCAGAGTGACCCCCCTAATGTTCCTATCCTCCAGATCCTCCCCAGGCAGGGGGCCAGCATTCCTGATGGCTTGAGGAGAGCCTCAGGTGGGGCATTGACATTGACTTTCATTTGATTGGAGTCCTGCTGGCTCCGGTCCAGTGTGAGGCAGCGCTCCAAGTGAGGATGAGACTGGGTGTGTGCTTTTAGCTCCCCTCTACTTGCTGAGACTGGCACCCACTCAGGGCAGTTCACAGGGTGGTGTGGGGTGGGGAATGTTTTTTAGGAGTTGTTGGCTGAGTTCTCGTTGCTGGTTGAACTGGAGGACGGGGGTGTAGGGGAAGAGGAAGTGGCAAAGTTGATCCCTGATAGACCTGGAGGATTCATAGCTGTGTTCTGTCCACTCAAGCTTTTCCTGCACACTGGACATGTGTCGTGCTGTGGAAGAACACAGGGGCACAAACACAGAAGACATCACTATATAATTAGTCGTCTTCAAGAATCTTTGAAGTAGGGCCAGCAGTTTTTACTGACCACTTAACTTGCCCAGGAGAATATATGTGGGCCAATATATGTTTGTGGTTTGGTGATGGGGGTCAGGAAAAGGTCATCTAGGGTTTGTCAATGATAGCACTAAAAAGAAGGGTATATATATGAGTGGAAAGGTCTTACCTGTTCAAGCCAGGGTATTATGCAATCATTGTGAAACAAATGATTACATGGAAGTTGCCTAACATTTTCTCCAGCACTGTAGTCTTCTTTACACACTGGACATTCTAGACCTGAGCCTGGAAACAGAAAACAAATTCCAAGATGTAAATGTATTCAAAAAAGGCTTAAAAACACCCCCAAACCCTATGACCCACTGACTTCCATAGAAAAAGAGCAAGACCACAACAAGTCCAGCCCACAGGTGATGCAATTGACTGTGCTGTGTGTGTTGATGTTCAGGGTCACTCACCGACATGCTCCTGTGTGATTAGGATTGTGGGAAGGCTCTTGATTTTGTCCCTGTCAGCTGGCGGAGGGCCAGTGTTCTCAAACTGATTTAATAACTAGGGGACACACAAAATATAACATTTTATTTGATACTGCGTGGATCATGCTGACCAAACAACCATTTTCACAATGCAAATATGCAGGTATTTTTTGTGTGCTTTTTGACGGTTAATTTAGAAATGTTTAATAATATGAGTGGTAAACAGTCAATACGTACCTGTGTAATGACTGCATCTAGTCCGTTGGCACCCCAGGCATAATCCATGGGGTTTGAGTGGAGCACTCCCCTATAAAGGAAGATAAACAAACAAACATCAGCTGGAAGACAGAGTCAGTTGGATGACTTCACCAAAGTTTTACATAAAAACAATGGGTCATAGTACATCCCAGTATCTTGAGACTAATTGTACTCACCAGGGTCCCACACCAATATTTGGCATTGCTGTAGGGGCGATTATTCCATTCACTAGCTGCTGAATGATTCTACACAAGAGGACAAAAAAAACATGGTTATGTTCTGCATGCATCCAAAAATGAGACCTCATTTCATCATTGCTTACATAGAACAGGGGCGACAAGCTAAATCATCAAAGCTCAGAGGAAAAGAGACAAGCCTATCACTGGGAACTGCTGACATCTAAAGTTAATGAGGTACCACAAGTCACTGAGCTTACCCCTCTAGAGTGGGCACTCCCTCATGTCTTCCTGCCTGCCTCCGGATGCCATGGCGTCCACGAGGTTGCCTGGTGCCGTAACGCTGCCGTGATGCCAACTCCTGTTCCTGCAGGTTCTCTGTGTCACGGTTGTCCTCTGTTCCCAGCCCCGCTCCAAAATCGAAGGAGTTATCAAAGACACCTAGAGCAAACTGGCCGTAACCCGAGGGGAATGTAGCCATGTGTGAAGGGTCCACATTCTACAAGAAATGGACAAACAGACACATTCATAAAATTACTTGGGAGTTCTTTCTGTACTATTCAATGTTTATTGTCAACATAAATCCCAACTACGTCAAAAACCAGGTGAAATTTCAACTGAAGAAATCTTTCCAGAATGCACAAAGGCGTGCTTTTCTGTTTGCTAAGATAACAATATCATGGTCTAGCCTGTATTTATCAATAAGCTGAATAAATAAGCTAAGAAACCTCAAACGACTGTTGGTTCTGATCACCGCTGGAGATGGTGGATGTGGACCCATTTTCACTGCTGTTCAGGAAGAGAAACATAGAAAACAACAGTTAGCATTTTTGGAGTGAGATTTTTTAAATTTGTGCACACCCTCTTGACCAGAGTGGTGTAATCATAGGTTGAAAAGTTCTGTGATGCCAAGTGACAAAATCTATTGACACTTGTTGGCATCTTTAATCAGAATGTTAACAGAATGCTTGCCATCACACATTTAACAAACCTTCTCTCCTCCAGCAGTTCCTCGATGAAGCCAGACTCACACCGTGGACATGTATAATCCTACAAACAAATATTACAATGCCTTTAGGTGTCATCTTTGCATTCACTACCACACACAGCTAGCAATCAGCTATTGAATCCCTACTTCACTACATTCAACTATGAACGTGGCCAACTTGAAAGAACAACCAGACATAAAAAGGAGATAACCCAAATTAAATACAATAATCCACAAATAATGACAAATAATCCTGGAAGGACTTCAATTGTGTTCAGTATGTAATTCAGTTGTCATTAGCACCAAACTGGGGAAAGCCTACTGATGAACATTTCATTGTGAGACACACCTTTAGTATTATATGACAGATCGTTCCAGGCCCTGACTGTTATGCTGGTGTGATTTAACTGAATGGCACACACACAGCAAGAAAGAATGCAACGTGCCATTGTCACTGAGACTGTAGAATTTCAACACTAGACATAATATTTTAGCTTTGGCATTGGAATCTGCCAGCAAACGACTAACCTATGTCTACGCTTTCTAGAGGAAACCTTAATACCACCATGGAAATATTTACAATAAACTGTTCCTTGAAGATACTGGAAAATTATGACTAGCTAAATACAAATCGTCCTCTGCTGCAGCTGATCTGGATGTAGTCATGAGGCCTACAGGATGTTTGGACACTTAATGGAATCCTTTAGTAATCATTCATTGCTAATCAGGATGTAACTGTCATCAGATGCCATTGTCAAGCATTGCTGACTGATATCAAAGGCAGCTCTGATGCATTCCTTGGCTAAGAGTGCTTGTCCCATCATGTCACATTTCTAGCTAACTAGATATGTGGGTCACATTTATATATTGCATAGATTTCATGCCCTAGCTAAGTAAAGCTGGTTAGCACGTACACCGCCAAGCTAGCTACTGTAGCTAGCTACAAACGACGCAACTCGAGACAGGCTAGCTAGGTAGGCAACGTTAGCTAGTTAGCTTAACCGAAAAACATATCAGATACGGTTAGTTGGCTAACTAGATAGTGAGTCTCTGATTTAACACCATCCTTCCTGCTAAAATATTAGTTAGCTAGTTCTCATTAGCTAACTGTCAGTTGCCAGACATAGAAAATCCGGTTAGCTCAAGTTAGCGTACTGCTTAGCTAGTTACTAGCCAGAGTGGCTGTTCGCTAGCTAGAAAGGCTAAGGACCAACAACAATGTATCTACTCTGCACGACTATTGTCTTTAACTTCTTGCTTCTTGTAAACGTTACTTACGGGGAGGCGAGGGCTGATCTCTTCCGAACATCTGTGACAGAAAAACCGTCTGGACCATGGAGGTGCTTCTGCCATCTTTTTTGTTCACTGTTTAAGTGGGAGAGGGAGACAGTACGGCGTGATGAAGGGGACAAGAATCGTTCGCTCACTATAATATAGGCATTATACCTCAGTTAATGTACGACGCGCTAGAATGAACTATATCAAACTTCCCAAATGTGTTTTAAATCTGTATTATCCAACGTATTGTAGGTAGCTAAAGAAAAACAATGGCATCTTTATGTAGGCCTAAATAAGCATTTTCGTTGCACTAGTTTCCAGTAAATTAGCAATACAAAACATCTTCATGTCCTTAACTGATGTTTGTTGTATAATGATAAGGTAAGAAGCAATACAAAGCCAATATGAATTTCTGATAGTTTTTAAAATAAATTAAAATGAACAAGATAAATGTATAACTAAAGAAATTCAGGGGAATAATGAAGCGCTGATATGTTCTATTTCACTTTTCTGATGGCAGTTCTAATCAGTATTGCCACACGGTGGTGCTTTTGTGTCCTAATTATATTGTTTTATAGCTGATCTCCAGCAAATATTGCCCCTCAGCAGGTAAAGTATTCTTCATATTAATGTACAGGATTGTGGTACATTTAGTGACCAGTTGAGAACCTATTGGCAACCATCCTTTCACCTTATGTAATGCTAAAATATCCAGTGTCCAGTTAAAAAATAAATAAATAAAATATCATGCTGGTCTATTACATGACATATTTGGGGGGATTTTACTAATGATGTGTATAAACCCTGGCTGACTGACAGGGGGCTCTGAATTGAAGCCACCGTACAGCCATTTTTTGGTACTCCTCCATTGTCAAAAACTATTCTGGAAGCTATAGAAATGCATGTATTAATGTCTACATTCGTTTTTGACAAGTATATTATATTAGACACCTTAATGCATACTTTTAAATTATATTATGTGACCCGAACATAAACAAATAAAATAAAAAATATAAAAACCTATTCCTTATAGTATTTTTTACAGTGTAGGTTTACTAACAAAGACTTTTGTAACTAACCCAAGATCGACCACAGCCTGCCGTTAGTCGTAGTGGGCAGAACAAGCACGAGCTAGCATGTATTTGCATATTTCCGTTAGGGAACGCCTACTCTGTGCGCAATTTTTAAAAACTTTGTCAAAGTGTAAAATCTACAAAACTTAGTCCACTCTGTTCGTAACATATTTTAGTTTTGGGGACAGAAAACTGTACTGAGCTCAAATGTTTAATAGATGAGAAAATGTGCAAAATGTCGGCCAAAATCCATCTCACACCATCTTCTCCCACTGACGGCCTCTGGGCTTCTTCTCGTCACCATATTTGGTAGTGAGTGGAAACGCCAACCGGATGCTTCACATTTATACATATACACACTGGATTGCTATTTCTATGTTTTGGCCATTGAGAGGCTTTGTAGTCACTGGTCGGCCATATTGGCACTGCCCAGTAGGAGCAGTCCTCCATAGGAATTAATGGAATTCTACAGTATTTCAATTAAATGTTTCAAGGACAAAATTACATTTACATTTTAGTCATTTAGCAGACGCTCTTATCCAGAGCGACTTACAGTTAGTAAGTGCATACATTTTTCATACATGTCTTTAAGTATTTTTTGTTGTAGAGGGGAAAGTAACATTAGTACTATCTAAAAAACATGTTTTAATATATTATTTCATTTTTTATGTTTCGCTCACATATAATTTAAAAGTATGCATTAAGGTGTCTGTAATAGAATGAACGTGTTAAAAACGAATGTAGACATTTATAAATGAATTTCTACAGCTTCCAAAATCTTTTTTGACAACGGAGGGAGGGTACCAAGATGGCTGCGAGGTGGCTTTAATATAGCACCCCCTGTCAGTCATCCAGGGTTTATACACATCATTGGTTACTGTCCCCACTTCATCAAATAAATACTAAAATACACTTAATTTTGTCCTTGAAACATTTTATTGAAATACTCCTGTGGAGGACTGCTCCTTCTAGGGAGTACCAATATGGCAGCCAGTGGCTTCAAAGCCTCTAATTGGCCAATGCATAGCATGACGCAATCCAGGGTTTATATATACATCATTGGATTTGACAAGGTGTGGGTTTTAGAGATATTTTAGATATACAAAGTTGATATGCATATTGTATGGATCTATTTATCTGTTGTCAATGCACATAATATACTGAACAAAAATATAAACGCAACATGCAACAATTTCAAAGATTTTACTGAGTTACAGTTCATATGAGGCAATCAGCCAATTTAAATTAATTCATTAGGCCCTAATCTATGGATTTCACATGACTGGGAATACAGATATCCATCTATTGGTCACAGATACTGTACCTTAAAAGAAATGGGCCTCAAAATGATCTTGTCACGGTATTTCTGTGCATTCAAATCGATAAATTGCTATTGTATTCATTGTCTGTAACTTATGCCTGCCCATACCATAACCCCACCGCCACCATGGGGAACTCTGTTTACAACGTTGACATCAGTAAACGGCTCGCCCACATGACTCCATACTCGTGGTCTGCGGTTGTGAGGCCGGTTGGACGCACTACCAAAATCTCTAAAACGATGTTGGAGGCGGCTTATGGTAGAGAAATGAACATTAAATTCTCTGGCAACAGCTTGGACGACATTCCTGCAGTCAGCATGCCAATTGAGCGCTCCCTCAAAACTCAAGACATCTGTGGCATTGTGCTGTGTGATAAAACTGCAAATTTTAGAGTGGCAATTTATTGTCCCCAGCACAAGGTGCACCTGTGTAATGATCATGCTGTTTAATCAGCTTCTTGATATGCCATACCTGTCAGGTGGCTGGATTATCTTGGCAAAGGAGAAATGCTCACTAACAGGGATGTAAACAAATGTGTGCATACAATTTGAGGGAAATACGTTTTTTGTGCGTGTGGAAAATGTCTGGCCTCTTTTATTTCAGGTCATGAAACAGGGGACCAACACTTAACATGTTGCGTTTATATTTTTGTTCAGTGTAGTTCAAACATCACCTTTTTAAAGCATTTTCAAGATTGCACTGCCCAGGTGGTCTTGTAGTTATGTAGAAGAGGGGAGCTTGATTGATAAGACCCAAGGCACCATGCAGGTCTGTTTTTATTTTGTAGAAGAAAAATACATCTCCTTTCATATTTCACTCTTTCACAGGTAGCTTTAATGTTATCTCCAGAGAGCCATAACAGTAGTGATTTATGGTCAACTCTGGCAGCTTTGTAAAATACTGTATCACTCCAGCATCCAGGGGTATTGAGTTTACTGTGCTACCTTGAGACATATCTCCAGTACTTGGCACCACATGTTGAGAGTAAGAAGGAGTTTCCGCCTGACTGTCCTCTAGCCAATCCCAGCTCTCCAATCTGCTCGGCTGATTTGATGTGTTATTTCATACTCCTACCATACCGAAACCATTATGTTTTGCAAATACAGAAGTCTTGAAGCCATAGACCCAGAATGAAGCCATATAATAGAATACAACAACATTAAATGATGTCAAACTAGGATACTTTTGATTGATTTGAACTGAATACAGTTGCCATGTTATTGCCAATATACCTTTAAAACGAATTAGAAAAATGGCAGAAAATGCAGAGTAAACACATAATGTACAAATTGCCCTGCTTAATATACACATTTTCATGGCCTTTACAACCTTGTGGGTCGTTATGCCTTTTTAAATATTTTCCATCACATTAGTTAGTCCAATACGAGGACTATTTCTCTTTATCAGCTGAGAACATTTTACAGTGATATGATATTATGTGGATGGAAGGAATGTTCTGCCCAGAGGAGACTCCCAGTCACTTAGTCCACAGCTTCGGACCTGTAGCCTGTGTAGTGTCTGATCACTGTGGGAGCTGGAGGTGCACTTCTTTCCCATGGGCTGTGAATAGAGAGGTTTGATAGCACTGAGGTAGCTATGTCTAAGTCGCTGAGGTAAGCTATTGTCTCCCTGTTCCCCAATGTGCCATCGCTGCAGTCCAATGTTCATTGTTGCACTCAAATCTGGGGAGTGTCTGTGAGCAGACCAGGGTCAAAGACAGGTCATGTGAGCTGTTGGAAACAACAATGCAAGACTGAGCAAGCCCTCTGATCATGCCACTCGTGTCACCGTAGTAATCTGGGGTTGAGATCTTGAATTGATAAGTGTTGAAAATAGAATTGAGCTTACCTTTCAAGTATTTTAGGGTGTCCCTCCGTCATGTAGAAGTAAGATATGGTGACAGGCAGCAGTTCAATATATATACATTGATTTGCTCTCCAAGGGCTCTCCAACCCTGTTCCTGGAGAGCTACCCTCCTGTAGGTTTTCACTCTAACCTCAGTTGTAACTAACCTGATTCAGCTCATTAACCTGCTAATTATTAGAATCAGGTGCGCTTGATTAGAGTTGGACTAAAAACCTACAGGATGGTAGCTCTGCAGGAACAGGGTTGAAGAACCCTGGCCTAGAGTAAATGGGATGGATAAACACTGTAATAGTGTACTGTATGTGTGTTTCTATAAAATGTATCTATGTACAGATGGTAACACTGTTATCGCCAGACAGAAGGGTCCTTTAGGAACAGCATTGCCTACCCCTGGTGGTACAGTTAGAGGAACAGAAAAAGAACATGCCTCGTATGGAAATGTGTGTATGGGCAGCCATTGTCCCGGGCATGCTGGTAGGACAGCTGTCACCCCATAGAGTTGTTCCAGACACTCAAGCAGGGAATTCCCTGCACAGTTCCGCTCGGCCCCCGAGTACTCAGACACACAGCAAGAACAAACTTCCTGGGCCTCTTAGTCATGCGTCACTTATTTTTACTCCCACTGAACGAGGTCCCTCTCCTACACAGGCTGGCAGAAGACATGCGTCACAAGAGCTTAGCATTACGCTGTAAAATCCCAGAAGTGAGTGCCAGAGTTTAAAGATTTCAGTAGTTAAGGAAATTGTTGTGCCCAAGAAGTCAAGACAGACATAAAACTCTTCAACACATACATTAAAGTGCCACTTAAACACAC